AAACAAGCATATGGCTAAACTAGGCCTATGCACGACAAAAATCTGCAGATTCTGCCAAACTGAAGAGGAAACGCCACTACACATCCTATGTGATTGTAGCCCACTCATGCATAAACGAAATATCTCCTTTGGAAAGTTTACACTCTTTCCCGAGGAGATAAAACCATCGCTCCTAAGAATATCCTTCAATTCTTGTCCTTGACGGGTCTAGGCAGCGAACTCTGAAAAAGGGCGAGCACGATAGATCTATGTAGGTCGCAGTGCTACAGGTGCTACAAACATCTGACAATAGCCCAAACAACCCAGTAAAAAAAAATAGCCCATCGTGATCATTTCACCAGGCATTTATCACGATTGTTCCAGTGGTTCCCCACTTGGAAGTCAACCTGACATGGTACATTGCAACCCCCTTCCCCAACAATCCCCTTTCCCCTATGCCCGCGGTGACGCTAAGGTAGGTACACCACTCGTGTTCAAGTTCTGGTGATACAGACAGACAGATTTACTTGATGATTAAAAATATATGTACAAGTCCCTCCGCAGGTTTGGAGTGCCATCTGCACTCGTCCCCTATCGTCCGGTGGAGCTATAATGCTACGTTTACATTCAGCCGCTTCCCCTGCCACTCGCGCTGCCGGAAATATTGCCGGGCGACTAAGCGAGAGGGCTGAATGTACAAACACGCTGCCACTCGCGCTGCCAGTCCTTTGACTCGCGCACGAAAAACCGACAATCGAGGGAGCGCCAGGCAGCGCCAATGGCATGGGAAGTGTTTCCACTCGTGTTTACACTCTCGCGCTGCTCATTTCCGTGGTCACTTCTCTGCCCACTCGGGCTGAGTGTAAATTAGGCATGAAGTCCAGCTGCGACCAACAGCATTAGAGTAGTCTGAAAAAAAAAATACATACAGTCTTATAAAAAAGTACATGGTAATTACCCACATTGTAGTTATCACCTACCATCAGGTTTTTATTTGCTATCCCCATTACATAAAAAGAAATTAAGCTCCAGGACGAGGGAGCTACGAAGATTTACTTCCTAAAAAGAAAACATTACAAGTGCCCCTCGGTAGTTAATTTTCCTAATTCACTTTGTACGGAGCCGTATCTTATTTTATCTACTGTTTAAACATCTGTCATCGTATAATCTGTTTGTAATCTAAATATATATAACTCAAAGGTGACTGACTGACTGACGTAGTGATCTATCAACGCACAGCCCAAACTACTGGACGGATCGGGCTGAAATTTGACATGCAGGTAGATGTTATGACGTAGGCATCCGCTAAGAAAATATTTTGTTTAATTCTACCCCCAAAGGGATAAAATAGGGGATGAAAGTTTGAAACTTTGTCAATTTTAAACCGATCGGGCTGAGACTTTGCATCCATAAAGCTACTATGATGTAGGCATCCCCTAAGAAAGGATTTTGATAATATCCACCCCTAAGCGGATAAATTAACGCGAGCGAAGCCGCGGGCAAAAGCTAGTCTATCTATAAAGTTAAAAGATCAATAGCAATACATTAACAAAATTAAATAACAAACTAACATTTATATCATGGCTAAATTTAATTCATGTACTTACTTAGAGTTTGTTTAGGGAAAAAAGATTTTTGCTCACTGACAGCGCAGAGGCAATTCTACGATTTTTTATTGTTTATTTACATTTCATACATTTAAAAAAAAAACATTGTAATCCAACGCAGGCGCATCGTGGCAATGGAGGTACCATTAAAATGAAAAAACATTTTTTATTTTATTTTAAAGCAACGCCAATCTGTCTTTAAAAAAAAGAAATTCAACTGAGTTTCTTGCCGGTTCTTCTCAACTGAATCTGTATACTGAACTGGACGGTAGGGAAAATCTATCAACGCACAGCACAAACCATTAGACGGATCGGGCTGAAATTCGGCATGCAGGTAGATGTTATGACGTAGGCATCCGCTAAGAAAAGATTTTGATTAATTCTACCTCCAAAGGGATAAAATAGGGGATGAAAGTTTATATGAAACTTTGTCAATTTTAAACTGATCAGGCTGAGACTTTGCCTGCATAAAGCTAAAGGATTTTGATAAATTCCACCCCTAAGGGGATAAATTAACGCGAGCGAAGCCGCGGGCAAAAGCTAATGTTATATATATACAAAAAAAAATACATTCATAAGCGAGTAAAATGTACTACATAAATGATTGATTTTTTATGTGTTTGGATTTGCCTCTTTAAATAGACATACTGGGTAAAGTTAGGCAAAGTCAAATGAGGTTACTAGTACCCGAATAACCTTGATTCTGAGTTTGGATATCTCCGGTATTACTGATCCAATTATGAAAATATTTTTAGTATTGGATAGGTCATCTATGGCGGAAGACTACAGACTATAAAACATTATACTACAATCAACAGGAGTAGATGCAGGAGCTGTAACAATACATGTTCCAAAAAACAGGGAAAATGTAACACAGACGAAGTCGCTAGTCTATACATCTATATATATAAATGAAATTGGAGTGTCTGTTTGTAATAATGAAATAACCAGTTTTTACTACATGCATATGAATATAAATACGGTACATACACCAAAATAACATTTTTTACCATTTTTGTCTGTCTGTCTGTTTCTAACTAATGCAAAAATTGGCTGAACCGATTTTCACGGGACTTTTTTTGACAGATAGCTGATGTAATAAGGAATAACTTAGACTACTTTTGTTTTAGAAAAATAATATTAAACTCCATACGGACGAAGTCGCAGCAACAACTAGTCAGTAATAAAGTTCAACTACTGCATTTAAAATCCTAACAAAAGGTACTAGTAACTACACTGTGTTTATAAGTCCATAACGATGTTATTCTACGCATCGTATTTTAAAAATATACATTACTAAAGTACAAACGAGCGATGTTTATGAAAATGAAAGAATTCTAATAAATCATGATTTGATTGAAAGCTAAGAATAGATGGACTGTGCGAAGTTACGCAAAAGGATAATCAATTTACTTGTTACTTTCTTCTTGCGGCATAAATATCGACATCTTTGGTCTACCGGTTTAATATAACAAGATATATCTACAATCGCAAGTTGGATACAAATCTTATATATAAAACTAGCTTTTGCCCGCGGCTTCGCTCGTATTAATTTATCCCCTTAGGGGTGGAATTAATCAAAATCCTTTCTTAGAGGATCCATACGTCATAGTAGCTTTATGCATGCAAAGTCTCAGCCCGATCGGTTTAAAACTGACAAAGTTTCATACAAACTTTCATCCCCTATTTTATCCCCTTGGGGGTAGAATTAATCAAAATCCTTTCTTAACGGATGCTTACGTCATAACATCTACCTGCATGCCAAATTTCAGCCGGGTCCGTCCAGTGGTTTGGGCTGTGCGTTGATAGATTACTATGTCAGTCACCTTTGAGTTATATATATTTAGATTCTCGTGTCACAATGTTAGTTACCATACTCCTCTGAAAGGGCTTGACCGATTTTTATTAAATTATATATGCATATTCAATAGGTCTGAGTATCGGCTACTATCTATTTTTCATACCCCTAAGTGATAAGGGTTATCCACCCCTAACACTATTTTTTAACTTTAGGCCAAAATTTTTTATTTATATTTTTTTATTATGTATCGTTAAAAAATACATACAACCCTAAATTTTCACCCTTCTATCACTGACCCCTATTTTTTTATAGCGCTATTAATTGAAATGGCAAAACAACGTTTGTCGGGACAGTTAGTATTTATATACTAGCTAGCACGCGGTTACATCCGCATAAAATCTATAGCTTATTTGTTATTCTGATGTATAACCTACATTACTGTAGAGTTTCATCAAAATCCATTGAGTAATCTTTGCGTGAAAGAGTAACAAATTCATCTATCCATCCTTACTTACAAACTTTAGCGTTTATAATTTTAAATAACAATAAGATGTATCATGAAATATCTGTTTATATTCTTTATAAGTATATTTCCATCTACAAAAAATATATATTTCAGTACGTTTATAAATAGTCTAGTATTCATAGTTGAAATTTTGCTTGTTTTAGGAGCAAAGAACGCTGTGTAAGTAGTCTAAAATTGTTTATTTATTATATAAAATTACATTTACAATTAATAATTTAAATTACAATTATATACATTTTATATATAAAATTGTTTAGTAATAACTGGATGCGAAGGGCTGAAGATCGTACCCAGTGGCGTGCCTTGTCTCAGCAGAATGAGCTAAATGTGTCGTGTATCTGTTGATATAAAAAACTTAATATCTGTCTATCTATTTGTTAATACTCATAGTATTACCATCGCTACTGCCATAATGCGCTCATCGTCCTACTGCGGCTGCGCGCCGTCCGTATATTTTGACTCTGTGGCGCGTTGCGTTTGGCGCGGGAAAAACAATCTACAATTTGACTTCTTCTAGAGACATTCTTCAACTATTGTACTTCTGATCACAAATTTTTGTATACTGTTCTTCATTACAATTGCACCTAACATATCAATTATGTGTAATGATATCCTCTGAACCACACGATACAGACTTGCATGTCTAGTGTGTGGTTCGCCGTAATGTGTATTGAATGTAAAAGTGTTTTATTGGCCAATAAAGTTTATTATTATTATTATTATTATATATAGCAGAAATTACTATTATTAGAATAAACTTCTTATATAACAAAATACATAAAAAATAATGTCCCTAATCCCGTATCGTAATTTATATATTTTTATTACATAGTTGTTTGATGTACCCAGTCTGAGAAAGACCTGTTGATATAAAAAACTAAATACCTGTCTATCTATTATAATTTTTTATAAATTTATGTATAAAATACACACTTCAAATACAGTAGATGGGATAATGTCATAAATAAATCTTTGCTGGGTAGTAACACAGTTAATACGCTCTGTGTCGAGTATAAAGTGGATTTTATTGTACCTTCATATACAGATAATCAATATTCTATTAAAGCTTTATTCTCCTTTGTTGCAGGTAACGACTCCGCAGAAAGAAATGACATACTAAAACATTTACGAAATGGATTCCACAGAAGACGAATTTTATAATATATGCCTGAACCTAACAACGGAAGAAGTGAGCCTAGGTGGTTGCAATTACAGCAGTGAATATGAAAATGGAGAATTACTTGAAAAGGTCGTATCTAGGGTTGTGCCAATATTCTTCGGATTTATTGGTATCGTCGGACTGGTGGGCAACGCTTTAGTGGTTCTTGTCGTAGCTGCCAACCCTGGTATGAGATCGACGACCAATCTATTAATAATAAATCTTGCAGTAGCAGATCTTCTGTTTGTAATATTCTGCGTGCCATTTACCGCAACAGACTATGTGATGCCAAGATGGCCTTTCGGGGACTGGTGGTGCAAAGTGGTCCAATACTTCATAGTGGTAACGGCTCACGCATCAGTCTACACACTGGTGCTGATGTCTCTAGATAGGTTTATGGCTGTGGTGCATCCTATAGCATCAATGTCGATAAGAACGGAGAAGAATGCATTGCTGGCAATAGCCTGCATCTGGGTAGTGATTCTAACGACAGCAATACCGGTGGGGATCTGCCATGGGGAGAGGGAGTATGCTTATTACCATAGAAATCACTCGTCGTGTGTGTTTCTGGAGGAGCAGGGATACAGCAGACTGGGATTCCAGATGTCTTTCTTTCTGTCGTCGTATGTAATTCCATTGGCGCTGATCAGCGTGCTGTACATGTGCATGCTGACGAGGCTGTGGAAGAGCGCGCCAGGGGGAAGGGTGTCAGCGGAGAGCAGGAGGGGGAGAAAGAAGGTCACCAGGATGGTTGTGGTTGTAGTCGTCGTGTTTGCTGTATGCTGGTGCCCAATACAGGTATATTTTGAAGATCATAATTCCATAAATATATATTAGTTTGTACCTACTTTAAACCAGGAAATATTCCCAATTAGGATATATTTTTCTTATGTTAGTATCCTCAGAACCTCGTCATTTTTATTTTTATTTTCTTGTATTCCAAATATACTTTCTGATTGATATAAACGTCATTAAAATTAATACAGTTCGAGTTTTAAAGCAAAATTATATTCAAATTCAAATACAAAATATCTTTATTCATGTAGATCTATTACAGACTCTTAAGATATATCAAATCTACCGTCAGTTCGGTTCATGATTTTGAGATGAAAAGAACTGACAAGTAACTCGGCACGTATTCTTTTCAAATAAATGTTGTACATGTTTAATAATACAGATTCATTTTTAAGTTCAAATTTGGAAGAATAAAGTGACCACCAGCTTATGCTATTGCAAAAGCAAATCAGTCTTCATAACCCGAACAGACCAGTCCCCACAAGCAGCACCAGTATGACGGATATATGTAATCTAGTGATTTTTCAACTATTCTTCTGTTGTTCAACTCAGCTGTCCTTTCAGTTGCACTGGACGAGATATCTACTGATTATACTGTATGTTGACTCTTTTTTATATCGATTTGAAATAGGCACTCTGAACCGAACTTTAGCTGAAATCTTAATATGTATTTTTTTTACTCTAGTACTCTTTTTTTTTATACAGATTTTAAATAGGTACTCTGAATCAAACTTTAGCTATAGTTTATTAAATCTAATCTATTTCAAAAGGACATTCAGAAAAGACTCAGATATTGATAAAAAAATGACAGATGATATTTTATTATAGTAATATGTTTATTATCAAAGAATAGATGTAGTTTAGTAGCGTAACTATAAATAAATCCAAGAAACGTTAAAATCGATCACAACCGCACAGGAAAAAACAAGATAACGATAATTGCTGTCCCGTTCTATCTCGTGGCCTCGATTGGCTATCGACATGTTAGCTCGCCACTTCTCTACGCCTGAACCAATAAGGAAAATCACAGTATTATTAACAGTGTAATCTTGTCAATGTTGAATGCGATCAAATAAACATATCTCAATCCATAATCCTTTTAATAACAACTAGATCGTATGGAGAATATCTTTTGGAAGATTTTTGTTATTAGTTCTATTATTCTACACCCACATTCGCGAAAATATTTATACGACTGAATCGTTGGACCGATTTCATTAATTCTTCATTTGTTATCTTTGTAACTGTAATCTTTTTAATAATAACTAGATCGTCTGGAAGATATGATTTGGAAGCTTTATCTTTTTTTAACAGTTTTATTATTCTACACCTACATTGGCGAATATATTTGTACGCGTGAATCGTTGGACAGATTTCGGTAATTCTTTATTTGTTATCTTTGTCACTCTAATCTTTTTAATAATAACTAAATCGTCTGGGAGATATGTTTTGGAAGCTTTATCTTTTTTTATTACTTTTATTCTATTACACCCAGATTTTAATACATTTTTACGCGTGAACCGCTGGACTGATTTCGGTAATTCTTTATTTGTTACTATAATCCTTTTTACTATAATCATTTTAATGGTAACTAGATCATCTGGAAGATCTATTTTTGAAGATTTTTTATCAGATTTATTTTCAATTTCGGTAATTCTTTATTTGTTATTATATTCTTTTTAATAGTAATTAGATGGTCTGGAAGGCATCTTTTGGTAGCTTTTTCTTTATTTTTATTAGTTTTATTTTGCTACGCTCAAATTTACAAATTGTCTGTCCCTATGTATGCTTAAGTCTTTAAATGTAGCTAGTATGCAGATAATAAAATCGCGACCTATACAGCCTAAACGGCTGATCTAAACGAAATTGTGAAATAGTACAAATAAAAATATTTTTTTATTTACAATATTAATCTATACATATAAATAAAATTTTCGTGTCTGTTTGTAATATTGAAATAACCGTTTTTTACTACATGCATATGAATACGAATATGGTACATACACCAAAATAACATTTTTGTCTATCTGTCTGTTTGTTCCGGCTAATCTCTGAAATGGCTGGACCGATTTTGAGGAAACTTTTTTGACAGGTAGCTGATGTAATAAGGAGTAACTTAGGCTATTTTCATTTTAGAAAAATAAAGTTGTGAATTCCATGCGGACGAAGTCACGAGTACAGCTAGTATGTAATAAAAAGACAATAACGGTTTTACCGTACTTACTCTTCGGTAAAGATATATATACATATATAGACCCCATTGTCGATTGTTTTTTGCGGACACACGTGGGCCGTTTGAATAATAGATACAATACCGATATTGTACAATCCCTTTTACAAATGTAAATGGTGGGTAGATATTTAATTTAAATGCGGACCACGTTTAATCTGAATACTCCTTTATTTTCATAAACGTAGGTGTTAAAATTGTCTACTAATTGCTGCCCCTCAGTTCGTCTGAGTTTTTTTTGTTTTTTTGGGTAATTGGAAGGTCGAATAAGTTAATTGTCGGATAGTAAGTGGTATATATAGTTTAGTACTGAGATGTCACACCTCTTATTCTATAATTTCTGTAAATTCACTGCCTTACCTCACTTTTCAACACAAAGATTTTCTTGCCAATCTATATATATATATAACTCAAAGGTGACTGACGTAGTGATCTATCAATGCACGGCCCAAACCACTGGACGGATCGGGCTGAAATTTGGCATGCAGGTAGATGTTATGACGTAGGCATTTGCTAAGAAAGGATTTTGATTAATTCTACCCCCAAGGGGATAAATTAGGGGATGAAAGTTTGTATGAAACTTTGTCAATTTTAAACCGATCGGGCTGAGACTTTGCATACATAAAGCTACTATGACGTAGGCATCCCCTAAGAAAGGATTTTGATAAATTCCACCCTTAAGGGGATAAACTAACACGAGTGAAGCCGCGGGTAAAAGATAGTAATACTATACATACATAATATACATAGAATACACATAAACGGACAAACAGTCATACTCATTTACCGTGCCAGGATTTGCACCTATTGTAAGAAGCACTAATTAAGATGAACGACTGAGGCTTTGAAGCCGGCTACCGCAAGGGAAACCCCAAGTAGCGCCCGTGACTTGTGACACGGGTGTAGGTTTAAAGGCCCTTTTAGAATGCATTAACACTCACCTTCACTACTTGCAGCTTCCCCCCAGGCCCAACTAAGACCGGGATAAACCCATTGCTAATACAATTCACTTTAATATCCAAAACACAACTGGCACGCTCTGCGTCGTCGACTGAATGCCGCGGCTCACGCAACGAAAGAGGATTATTCAACTACCGACCTCCGTATTTGTAGACCAAAGTCAGTGTAGTAGGTTGGTCTATAAATACTGGATGGCGCTATTTACAATATTCGTAATAATCCTTACATTGGGTACTTCATTAGTGCTAAAAACAAACCTCCTTTTAATATATTTTTAAAATATCGGATTTTTTCTACAATAATGATGTGAATTCTAACACTATGACAATTAGAAAGCAACGTAGGATGCTACTAACCACTAAACCATCAGAGCATAAATAAAGTAAATGATTATCACTTCTCTGGAGTCCTTCAAACAAGAAATTATAGTAATAATCTCAGGACAATTCACACAGCGCCATCTAGACCCAAGTTAAGCTAGCTAAAGCTTGTGTTATGGGTACTACATAACTGATACAAATACATAGATATATTTATTTTCGTCAATACATACATATTATACATAGAATTATAATCATGAGTACAAATGATTGTGCCGCGCGAGGAATCGAACTCTTGTTTTTGGGACTACTCTAATGCTGTTGGCCCCAGCTGGCCTTTACAGCTTCACCGGACGATAGACGGCGAGTGCAGATAGCACTCCAAACCCGCGGAAGGACTTATGGAGCTGCTGATTGCCAACTCCCGCCTGACGGATACGACTTTAGTCTGAGGGCACCGCTAGGGGTTCGAACCTCGGCTCAGGCCATCGTAACATCGGTCCCCATTTGAACTGGATGGGTAATCGATCAGAGGGGGAATCGAACCCGCGATCGGTAGTAAGGCGGTGTGCTAAACCACTAGACCACCGAGACCGTCAAAATAGAATCTGAGAAATACTAGAGTAAGTAATTAATTAAACCGACAGTTATCCCGTGCAAACAAAATTAACCGGAAAAGCATTTTATTAAATAATTAATCCCTCGTTACATTATGACCGGTACATTTAGCACTTTTGTTATAATTAATTGTGCTCCATTAACTCGGCAAGATTAGATTTTTCGGTTACCTCTCAAAAGAGTAATTAATTCAACTGAAAAATAAATGATCCCACAAAAATAAAATTGACGTACGCGTAATGAATCAAAGAATATAACTCTCTGATTAGAAATACTAACTCTGTTATTTCATTACCGACGCTAATCTATACATATAAATAAAATTAGAGTGTCTGTTTGTAATATTGAAATAACCGTTTTTAACTACATGCATATTTTTCTAAAATAAAAGTAGCCTAAGTTACTCCTTATTACATCAGCTACCTGCCAAAAAAAGTCTCGTCAAAATCGGTTCAGCCATTTCAGAGATTAGCCGGAACAAAGAGACAGACAGACAAACAAAAATGGTAATAAATGTTATTTCGGTGTAGGCGTATTTATATTCATATGCATGTAGTAAAAAACGGTTATTTATATATGTGTGTGTGTGTGTGTGTTCATTTTGCAGAACTGTGTGTTAGCCGTAAGGTGGAAGTATTTGTTCTGTTTCGTCATAATTTAGTTTCAGCATATGCTGGTAGTTACTCTATTCTCCCAAATTTTAATTTAAAATTAATCTGTAAACATGTGCAACTTTATTTGAAAAGAATACGAACTGAACAGTTCTTCTCAGCAACATTTATACAACTATAGTGAAAATCAAGTATACGGCTCATCTGATGGTAAACGATATCCGTAGTCTATGGACGCCTGAAACACATGGGATGTTATGTACGCTCATCTGCGAGTTGACCCTTAAGAAATCTTAATAAAATCTTAGAAACCCTATGCTATCGTTTCTAGAGAAAACCTCGGCAGGAATTCATCCCACAATCTAAGTGTACGCGGGAGGAAGCTCCTCTGAAACCGCACTGTCGGAGGCACCAGTTAGGTTACTGCGTGTAGGGATGAATTCCCTATCGATGATGATTGGTGTTTCCAAACAGCGGAAGTCTAATATACTGATATTCGGCATTGCCCGAGACATCATTTATCATTCATCCCCACACGTTGGAATGTGTTCCAACATGTGGGGATGAATTCTCTGTCGATGATGATCGGTGTTTGAATTCCTTTATGATGATTGATGTTTGAATGCCCTGTCGATGACGATTTATGTTTGAATTCCCTGTCGATTATGATCGGTGTTTGAATTCCCTGTCGATGATGATCAGTGTTTGAATTCCCTCTCGATGACGATCGATGTTTTGAATAATTAAAAGTCTTATATACTGATATTGTTCGCAGATAATTCTACTGGTGAAGGCGTTGGACAAGTACAACATAACTTACTTCACGGTGACGGCGCAGATTGTCTCGCACGTGCTGGCGTATATGAACAGTTGTGTGAACCCTCTACTCTATGCGTTCCTGTCAGAAAACTTCAGGGTTGCATTTAGAAAGGTAAGAATGAAGAAACTTAAAAGCCACGCTCATATCGGTCCAGCTCTTGCCACTTCCCATGTTATCTCATGCATGTCTATGGGAGAAAAATATTATTTATTTTAGATTAAAAAAAATTCTAAACCATTTATTCATGTAGGACATTTTAGCCGCTTATGAACGGCAAATTTATACATATAATGTATAAATTTTAATTTTTTCCTTACCGTCCAGTTTGGAATATAGATCCAATTGAGAAGAACTGGCAAGAAACTCAATTGTATTACTTTTTTTTAAAGCCAGTTTATTTACAATGTATATTTATGTTGATCTCTATGTCTAACATTAAATGAAAATCCTGTGCATGAACAACTATTGCCATGCACGCTCGTCATTCAAGTAATCGTTTAGTGAGTAATAGGCTTTGCTCAGTAAATATGATTAAATGTAAAATATGAGATAATTATGTATTCACCAATTACAAACACAGTTATTACGTGAATACATAACATAATATATGTATGTATGATGTATGTATGGAATATATACGAAACGTAGCTAGACTTTCGGCTGTCTTCAAACAGTGCTTGTACGCAGACAGTTAAATAAATTCATATAATTTTCCACCCACTTCCCAGAATCACTTTGATGTTCAGAATTCATAAAGTAAACTCGTAAATTATTGAAGTAATTTTAAAAATCGACGAGCAATTTACCAATACATACAGAATAATTTATAAGTTTCAAAATACAACGCTTTGAGCAATAAAAAATTGCTTTAATGTTAATTTTCATAGATTTCACTGACCCATGAAGTTTGTGGACCCAACTGAAAATCAGCGCTGGAAACTATGAACTATGTTTTCAGCATTATGCTGAGTTTTAGCCCACATTGACTCTGTTTTTAATGTGTACTGTCTGGTACTTTTTATATTGCCTTGCCGGCATTGCTGTGGCTAACAGTTTCTTTATATATAAAAATAATATTGCGACTATAAATTGTGTTGTAAGCTATCCTATTTTCAAGTTGGTTTAAATTGCATACAATGTGCAAATCAAGTTTAAAAGCGGTTCAGTAGTTTAGGTGTCCATCGCGGACAAACAACGTAATACGTAATTTTTATATATATGTAAAGACTAGCAGACCTGGCCACGCGTTGCTGTGGCTAACAGTTTCTTTATATATAAAAACTAGCTGTTCCCGTGACTTCGTCCGCGTGGAATTTACCTTTATATTACAAATTTTTTTTTTTTTTTTAAATGTTGAGATGTTACTCAACATTTAAAAAAAAAAAATTTTAAAAGTTAGATAGATGAGTCAATACTAGGCTTCCGAGCTGTACCCGAACTCTATTCAACTAGGTAGGTAGTTTTGAAATCTACCAGTGTATGTCATCATACATATTTATTACTATCATACATATTTAATAGTACTATACTACATGCGACTGCGTCCGCGTGGAATTTAACTTTATTTTTCTAAAGCAAAAGTAACCTAAGTTAATTTTTCTAAAATAAAAATAGCCTAAGTTACTCATTACATCACATACCTGCCAAAAAAGTCTCGTCAAAATCGGCCCAGTCATTTCAGAGATTAGCCGGAACAAACTGACCGATAGATAGACAGACAAAAATTATAAAAATGTTATTTCATTATTACAAACAGTCACTCCAATTTTATTTATATATATATATAGATAATATTGTAATTGTAGTGTAATTTATTATTTAAACACATAATAATTGTGTGAAATGAGTCGATAAATTATATTCCATTTTAAAATATGGGAATAGTATCAAAAAGTACTTTTAATAAACTGCTATAAATACATAAATATATATATATTTATATAATTTTTGAATACCTACCATACGGATTCATTTCGCATTAATACCAGCTGCTGAGTTTCACCACCGTACCACCCGCCAGAAACTAAAATACCATCCTGATCATCTGGATGAATGGCGGTCCTCCACAGTGCGGTGTTTTAGAAACTTTTTGCCACGCACAACCTCATAGTCTCACCTTCCGGCAATGGTATTTCCGAACCGATACGATATTGAAACCTTCAAAAAAAGAGTATATTCCTTTTTAAAAGGCCGACAACGTACTTGCAATTCCCCTGGTGTTGAGGGTGCTCATGGGCGGCGGTAATCACTTACCATCAGGTGAGCTGCATGCTCGATTGTCCCCTGTGTTATAATATAAACTTCAAATTACACATACGAAGAGCTATGCTGGTGATCTTAGTTCTCTACCGAATTACTTCGTTTCAGATTTCATCCCTCAGAGAAACTCCAAGCATAACAGATTCAGTACCTTAATTCTCGTGAATAGCAGGGCGTGAGCACTATTCTTCCTCTTCTTCGTTTGATATTATGACATATATATATATATCTGAAGCGTTCTTTTCGACAGTTAGCTGTAGGGGTCCTCCACAGTGCGGTTTTTTAAAAACTTTTTGCCACGCACAACCTCATAGTGGAATCACCTTCGGCAATGGTATTTCCGAACCGATACGATATTGAAACCTTCAAGAACTTATTCCTTTTTAAAAGGCCGACAACGTACTTGCAATTCCCCTGGTGTTGCGGGTGCTCATGGGCGGCGGTAATGACTTACCATCATGTAAGCCGCATGCTCGTTTGTACCCTGTGTTATAAAAAAAAAATACAATTAATTTGTCTACTAAACATAACTTATTTCATTAAGCTAGCATTCTTAGTTTCCGAGGTCTGTAAGTTTTTTTTAAGTGAGTATAAAACATCCAAATTTGAACATTCAAGGTTTTACAAGTAAAAGATTCAATTACATTCATTTACATAAAAAATTCCATTCCATTTACAGCGATTCACAAATGGCGATATCAAAAGGAATAAACATTTTCTCGTTTCATCAAATAAGTAATTGGAATCAAAACAGCCGACGAAAAAAATTAACTTATAAACAAATAATGTCTAATTTATTTTGACCTTGCTCCGCTGCGTTACAATTATTGGACCTTAAAATTGCGAAGTCTCAAGTGACAATGTTTCTAATAGAAATATAAAAAATGTTTATTCAAATAAACTTAAATTTAAGTACTTTTGAATAGTCATACTTATTCCTTTAAACTACCCATGATTCTGAAACCTGTGTTCAAAAACATTCAGCCGCTTCCCCTGCCACTCGCGCTGTCGGAAATATTGCCGGGCGACAACTGAGCGAGAGGGCTGAATGTAAAAACACGCTGCCACTCGCGCTGTCAGTCCTTTGACTCGCGCACGAAAAACCGACAATCGAGGGAGCGCCGGGCAGCGCGAGTGGCAGCGCCAATGGCATGGGAAGTGTTTCCACTCGTGTTTACACTCTCGCGCTGCTCACTTCCCTGCCCACTCGGGCTGAGTGTAAATAGGGCATTACAAGAATAACGAGTAAGAAACTAACGTGTAAAATATCTTAGTAATATTATAAACACAATAGTTTGTGAGTGTATGGACGGATGGATGTATATTACACTGTCACGCAAATATTACTGAATGGATTTGAATAAAACTTTACAATAATATAGCTTATACATCGGAATAACACATCTTTACATAGTATTAAACAAAATCGCTGTCGCTGTCTGTTCATTTATATATTATAAACTAGCTGCGCCTTTGACTTCGTCCGCGTTGAATAGTGACCTTGAGGAATTAAAGAAAATATTAGATTACTAACTGTCCCGGCAAACGTTTTGCCTTAAAATAAAAAAAAAGTTTAGGGGTGGACTACCCCTAACATTTAGAGGGATGAAAAATAAATGTTGGCCGATTCTTAGACCTACTCAATACGCTCACAAAATTTCATGAGAATCGGTCAAGCTGTTTCGGAGGAGTATAGGAACGAAAACTGTGACACGAGAATTTTATATATAAGATTACGCAACGGATCTTAATGCAGTTTTCAACAATAGATAGAGTCATTCAAGAGGAATATTAATGTGTATAATACATGCGTGTTATAGTATAGAACAATCCGTGAGAAAATATGTCGGTTCGCTAGTAAGCAATATAAAGAAAAAAAGTATATATTAGTACTTTATATAGGTTAGGTTAGGTTATAAATTTACGCGGGAAAACCGTGGGCTCACTTTTTTTGGTTCGGTTTTTCCCGTTACCAAGAAAGGCAAAAGAACTCAGCCTATACACGCTCACTTAGTAAATGAATAATTTTCTTTTTTTCTACAGGTCATGTACTGCCCCCCTCCGTACACAGACGCGATGTCCGGCCGCCCGCAGCCTACGAAGACCACACGCACCGGAAACGGAAACTCCTGCCACGACATCGTCTGAGAGTCAGTTCGCAGTCGCACGCGCTTACCATCCGCTGATCAAGCTACCATCGTCTAGAACTCTTCAGGTCAACCGCCGGCGACTGCACTTTCCAACTATACCTAAAGCATTATGCTCTAATTTCCTTTGCTTTTATTTTTTTTTAATCTGTGATGTAAATAGACTCGTTTTAGTTTAGAACTTGTTTATATTCTATGTGTGATCAGCTTGTTTATATTCTATGTGTGATTTAGTCATAGTTTTAGAATAATAATGGCTAAATAGTTAGATTTAGATGTAAATATTTATTAGAGGGTGTTTTATGTAAAATTCCTTACCGATTTCTATATTTCGAGCCCAAATATAGAAGTTAGTGATGAATTTTCGATTGTAAATAAAATTATTTTTTTTATTTATTATTTTTTTACGTTTTTGGTAATATATAAATTTGATTCATATTATTAATTGTCTATAAGATGATAATAACTAGATAAAACATCGAAATTAAATAAATATAGTTTAGAAAATATGTATTAAATGTTGATAAAGAAAATTCTAGATATTAATATTGGTTATATCAATTTTTATAAGGAATGTAAAACATTTAATTTAATTTAATTTATGTTCCGTTTCATAGAAACCGAACTCGCTTTTTATTTTAAGGTATTTGGATACTAGTTAAATTTGCACAAATAATACATTTGAGAGTAGGTAGAATGATATGAACTGAACTGAGGTTTTTAACGAAGAAATTGTTATCTTAGGAAATGTGATTATATGTATATGTATCAATACATAGTGAGGTTACTATGTTACTATGTATATTATGTAATAGTAAATGTTCTTTCATATAAAAATAAATAAAGTCGTTTCATTTATTCAATATTTAGTTTGGAATATCAAATCAAAAATCATTTATTCATGTAGGACATTTTAGCCGCCTATGAACATAATTTTTTTTGTATTAAGTTGCCCCTTTTTCCCTACCGTCCAGTTCAGTATACAGATTCAATTGAGAAGAACTGGCAAGAAACTTGTTGCGGGTGAGTGATACTATGTTGTTGGTCGAGACGATGTATATTACAGATGATAATAAACTGACAATATGTACATAGAAATATTGATCTTATATACTAAATAACGATAGGAAAATGTAAGGTGGGGTCACACAGTTTAGACACAGCAGTGCTTAGTAGACAATATTGAATTTGTCTTACTAGGCATTATTAACCCCGGTTACCCGCGTGACAGGCGGGGATACTTACCACTATACTACCGAGGATGTATAATGTTGAGCTCAGCATAACCTTCATTAACCGTATTTCTAATATTGAACGTAGTAAAATCAGTAACTCCACCAATTTCCCAATGTTTGAGGATTATTAATCTTTCCTAATTACATTCTGGATGCCGTTATCTTATATATCTACATATCTTAAGATAGATGAATTTATAGATGATAGCAATATATAGCAAGAATAAGTTTATTTGCGGACAACGTTATAATTTTAATTTTCATACTGCTTTCTTGATATATGATAGCGTAGCGGCTTTTGTATTGATTGCCGCATGCATCCTTATGTAAAGTGCGAATACTGTAACTACCATATAGTAATTTTTGTAGCTGTGACGTGGTCGTGTGGAATGAGTAGTCATGCTCACTAAAATGTCCAGACATGTGGCGGCGTGGTGGGCCGGGTCATTGGGCTCCCTAAAATATGGTCGAGCGCAGTGATGGCTGGCTCATCCGTCATACTCGTGAATGAGTGCTGCTTGTAGGGACTGGTCTGCTCTTATCACTACGACTGATTTAATCTTATTGCATGATTATGTTTGACTCAAAAAATTAGTGCTAGTTGGTAGTTTGTATTCACACGTTTCGACTTGTAAATGTAAACTTACAAGGATTATTTAAAAGAGCAACACACAAGTTTCTTGCTCGTTCTTCTTGTGATGAGACAGCTTTCCGAACGAGTGGTAGATAAAAAACAAATTGTTATGACTATGCAAAAGTGCTTAAATTAAGTTTATTTGAATAAATGATTTTCTATTCTATTCTATTCTATTCTTAAGCTACGTATTAGAGAATTAACTCGAATAACATTGTAATGTCCTGTGGGACAATAGTAATAATATCTCTGAACAATTCACACTACGCAAGCATCTAGTCTCAAGGTTAGCAGAGCGTGTGTCATGGATACTAAACAACTGATATAATCACTTAGATATATATTTTAACTGCATATGTTACAATATTAACCGATACAAACAATCATATTTATTGTAACTGGCTAATAAGAAATGTGTTTTTATATCTAAATTTGTATTTTGAAATTTATAGTTCCTTTTTAGATTCTTTTTTGATACTTCAATTCATTCTTTCTGTTCCTAATATGTTAGTCTATTATTAATATATTTTCTCTGTTTTTACCAAGTCTTTTTTCTTATTACTACAACAATATTATGAATACAAATATTGCTACCGTGCGAGGAATCGAACCCGCGACCATCGGAAGTGAAACGGTGTGCTAAACCACTGAGTAATAATCTTTATTTTATTCATGCAATAAAAATATTCAATGTAATTCATATTATACTATCATTATAAAAAAAAATGTAGACAGCACTCCTCTTTTTGAAAATGGTTAAAAGTGTGTATCATTATCATTACATAGTATAAAATAAAGTCTCTGTCGCTGTCTGTCTGTCCCTATTATTACCCCTATTATAACATCCTCGTTAAATTTCAATAAAAAATATAGCCTATGTTTTATTCTGATGCATAACCTATATTACAATAAAGTTTCATCAAAATCCGTTCAGTAGTTTTTGCGTGAGAGTAATCAACACCTATCCATACTAACTTTCGCATTTATCATCATCATTTAATAGTATAAAACAAAGTCGCTGTCGCTGTCTGTCAGTATGTATGCTTAAATCTTTAAAACTACGCAACGGATTTTAAAGCGGTTTTTTTAATAGATAGAGTGATTCAAGAGGAAGGTTTATATGTATAATACATGTACACCCGGACGAAGCCGCGGCGAGTAGCAAGTATCAGTATATAGAAATAGAAATAATCTTTATTCAAATAAACTCATTACAAGCACTTTTGAATAGTCATATTTGATTCTACCACTCATTCGGAATACAGATTCATCACAAGAAGAACGAGCAAGAAACTTGTGTGTTGCTCTACTTAATAGATGTTTTTTTATATAAATAATTACAGTATAACATGTAAGAGGCATGCGATAATCAACATAGAAATCGCTACGCACTCATTATTAGTGTAATTATATAATATTGTCAGTGCTATGGATTTAAAGTTTTTCTATAAAAACATTATTATCGTTAATGAATTCTTCAATTTTATAGTAAGCTTTTTGGCAAAGGAACTGTTTTATTTGACATTTAAATCTTTTTTCTGGCAGATTTATAACAGACTCTGGTATATTGTATAGTATATTAAACCCTAACAATCTTGAGAACATACTGAAACGAAGTCCTGTCTTAACTATGAATATTAGATTCGCAGCTAACATTTCTGATGTTCAGCGGAACTTTCTTGATTATATCTTTCATAAGGACCTTCTCCTGACAATGAGAAAAACAATAAAAAGGAATTAGCGAAATCGGCACAGTCACGGATGATGTCGTGACGAAGGAAAATATGGATTCGTTTATATCAGGAATGTTAAGGAGATCCGAAACTATCGGATATCCGATATAAAATATATCCGTAACCGTAACCGAATCCGAAATAAAAGTTTCGGACAATATCGGATAGGGGCGGAGCCTAATTAAGACGTTATGTAACAATTTTATTAGCTGTTTGTATTTTACTTTTGAAATTTCTTAAAAAAGTATTATCCGTAACCGAAATTATTCGAAACCAACGGATAATCCGAAATTATTTCATATCCGCATCCGTATCCGTATCCGGTATAATAATCGTTCCTATATCCGAAACCTATCCGTATCCGAAATTTTTTATCCATAATATATATATAGGTTTATATATGTCAAACAAATCGCAGTGGGAGCCTAAGAATTTATATATCTAAATATATACACGTAACAAAAATCTGTGAAACAAATAAAGGGAAAAACAAAATAGAAATAATCTTTATTCAAATAAACTTAATATAAGCACTTTTGAATAGTCAAGTTTTTCTATTCTACCGCTCATTCGGAATGCAGACTCATCACAAGCAGAATGAACAAGAAACTTGTGTGTTGCTCTTTTAAATAAATATTCATTTACTTATATTTAATTAACAACAAGGATTAGGCATGCGACAATCAACATAGAAACCGCTACGCACTTAATCTCTGTTCAATCAGATATCATTGCTGTGAATTTTAAGTTAGATATTTTCTACAAAAACATTATTATCATTTATAAATTCTTCAATTTTATAATACGCTTTTTTACAAAGAAAATATTTTATAACACATTAGAATTTTTTTTTCTTGCAAGTCAAGTTTGTACTCAATTTATCAGAAAAAAAATTCATTTATATAGCAGAACAAAATTTGTAGACTAGCTAACTCGACAAATATTGTTCTGCCATATAAATGAATATCGCTAGTATAAGTAGGGGTTAATGTTAGATGGGTGAAGATTTAGAGTTATACTAGCTGTCACGGCAAACGTTGTTTTACCTTAATTATAAAAAAAAAAATTTGGTCTACCCCTAACATTTAGGAGTATGAAAAATAGATATTGGCCGATTCTCAGACCTACTCAATATGCTCACAACATTTCATGAGAATCGGTCAAGCCGTTTCGGAGGAGTATGGGAACGAAAACTGTGACACGAGAATTTTATATATAAGATGTATTTTTTAATAGTGGATATTAAATAATAATAAACTAAATCATTTTGTAGACGACCCTTATCACTCAGGGGTATAAAAAAATAGATAACAACCTTAGATCTACCTATCGCTCTTTTGATCTATTAAAATGTTTCATTTATACTCATAAATGAAAAGTTTTATTAAAAAGGGTTAAGCCGTTTCGGAGACTTATAGTTTATATAGAAAAATGTGCTAAACAATAATATGTTTTCAAATTATGCATCAAAATATATGCAATCAATAAAAAAACATTATATACATACTCTTTAGTTTTTTGTTAAAGTCTGTGGTCAAATTGAGACTTACTGAATATCGAACAGCCCTAATAAATACA